CTTTTTGCTTATGTGGTGCTGAGGAATCGAACCCAGGGCCTCATGCATGCAAGGCAAGTGCTCTACCACTGAGCCACCTTCCCAGCCCCTGAACCACAATCTTTAGATCTCAGCCTCCTGAGTAGCTAGGATCATAGGCACGAGCCACTGGCACCCAGCTTCATTTGTTTTTTAACTTAAAGTATTCTAAGTGCAACAAGTTTAGCTCGGTGTTAGAACACTTGAATAGCACACATAAGGCCCCAGGTTTGATCATCACCATTAAAAATTTTTTAAATGTATTCTGGGTGGCAAATTTTAATTCTGGCAATTTCCAACAAGGTTATCACAAACCTGGGAAGCAGACGTCAGGCTCACACCACTATCTGCGCTGATCTGGGATTTTTTCTCCTCTGTTTCACCAAGGTCAAAGGCAGGTTTGATGACGTCGGGCCCTGAGTAGGGGAAGACTTCCATTATTCACTCACAGAGGCCGGGGGCAGACTGGTGAAGGGAGTGGGAGGGCAGAACAGCTTGTCCCCGACCTGTTTAGCACATCCCAGTCACCTTCCCAGAGACTGCCCCCACAACAGGCCACTGAAGAAGAGGTCCCCAGATGCCTTAAGACAAGTAGGACAAGATAGATCTGGCCTCAAGGGACTTTGATGCCATCTTCTCAACCTGAGAAAATTCTAAGGAAATCATTCTGAAATAGAAAAGTCCACAAACGAACATCTAGATAAAAAATCCCATGGTAACCAGTCAGAGCTTCACTGGTACTTGAGACCATTTAAGGGTCTCCAGGTTGCTCAGTGTTTCCTGGACAAAGGTGTCCAAAGGGGCCAGAAAAGTTGAGGCCGAAAGAGAGAAAGAAACCCCATTTCAGTTGGTTCTACCTACCCCCCACCCTACACCATCTATACTTGAGATAAAAGCCACCCCCATTTTATCCCTCCCAGCCACAATGGTATGGAAGAAGGACAGAATGACAGAAAGCAAGAAAGCGTGCCTAGGTAAGCCACCATAGAAAGTTAGGCAGCTACAGACTCAACATGGAGGGATAGCAACCATCTCTGCCAACTGTGCCCACAGGTCTCCTAATGTTGAGGGAGGTATCAGCCAATGAGGGGCACTGCAATCGGCAAAGGTTCTCCCCACCAGATCTGTGGCAATAGAAACCACAGTCTAAGGGATTTTACTCAGTAGGCACCCTGATTGCTATGAGGGGAGGGGTACGAAGCAGCCTATATGCTATACACCTAGCAGTCACATACCACCTACCTGCTTTCAGTTCAAATAATCCCCACAAAAGCAAATTTGGGATGGGGCTGACACAGAGAGCCTGCCCCAACTGGGCCTGGGGAGTTGGCAGGTATGGGAGACTTGGGGACAGGAAGGGGCATTTGTTCCTTACTCTGTTTTTCCAAAGCTTTTTGCTTTTTCACTTCCTGGTGCTTGTTCCACAATTCTACCCCAGATGCAATGCAAGCAGGAGAAAAAGACAGAGAGAGTCAGAGGCTGGTAAGACAGACGAAATGGAAACCCATCCACCCAAGTTGATTCAGTTTTAGGCATAGGCTTACCAACCAAGAGATACAAAGATATCTTCACGTGGGGGGGGGAGGGAATCAGAGCTCCAATATCTTCCCCTAAACGCATGAACTGAAGACTCCAGATTTCTAAATCTAATCACAATGTGGCAGACAACCCCCCTGCAGAATATTCAACTGAAAGGGCCCTTCATGAATCTCATTTGTCATTAGGAAACTAACTGATCCTTATAGAGGCTGAAGCACATGATCAAGTGTATGGAACTCAAGATCAGTCTGATTTCTATCATACTATGCTCCCTCTGACAAATGAACTGAGAAACAGTCATTCTTACAAATTCTAGGCAAGAGACAATCATTTCAAGTAGCCAAAAGTTTTAGAAGTATGAGCACCAATCTGTTTGACCCACTGACTGACCAACTCATACCACCAGCTAGATTCTTTCCTTGTTGCTATCCATAACTTTCACTCTCATAACCATCACTCTCAAAACCACATTCTGAGCCAGTTGTGTGAAGACAATGTTTCCAGTAGAAGTAGCATAGAACATAAAATAGTTAAGATTAGCATAACAAGAAGGACAAAATGGAGGGAATACCAACCATAGCAATTCTTTTTCTGGAATGTGCTTTGGAGTTTACTTAGTGTGATCTCATTTCCCAGATGAGGAGATATAGACCCCAAAAGGGAGGGGGTCTGTTTAAGTCACACTCTAAGTTAGAGAGCAGATATAGGACTAAAACTCCAGACCTCTAGCTCGACTGATCAATACTTTTCCTGGGACATCATCCAGCAGGACAAAGTCAGGGTTTCTTGCCACTAGGAAAATACTTGCTGACTAGAGGAGTACAGCTCACCTAAAAAGGGGACTGGTTCCTTGTTACCCTTTTTAAGGACTTAAGACAACTGCTAATGGTTATGGCAAAGAGGCATCAACAGAAGCATAGTTCCCAGGGACCTAGAACCAGAAAATGAAAGATATGGCCTGCATGGCTCAAGATCAAGTCGGGGTGAGCCGAATAGAGGTAACAAAGAGAGAGAATGGGAGACACACCAAAAATAAGCAAGCCTTTAATTAAGTCCAGGGAGGAAGGATGGAAAGAAAAGCTGACTCAGAAATCTGTATCTCTGAAGTACAGAACCCAGGCATACCACAGAGGAGCAAATTCTAGAGCAGTGCAAATGCTTAGCTAGGAAACTGGCTTCTGAGTCCCAGGTGATCCTGATTTTACAACCCAAAGACACAACTATACATTTCTTATAACCTCCAGATCTCATATAGCATCTCTGTCAGTGAAGAAATCCAGATGTAAACAAAAAAAAAAAAGAGGGAACAGAAGTATAGCTCAGCCTTCTTCCAATAAGCCCCACAGTCTCTACACAAAACGTCCATTCTTCCTCTAAGACACCCGTGGGAGTTATGGAGGCAGTGAGAGTTGGATGAAACAGAAGGATAGAGAAGTATAATGAAATGCCACTGAAGATGGACACAGATGCATCTCCCTCTCTAGAAAGCAAAGCATGAGGGAAAAGAACAACAGGATTCTGGATGAATTGAGAAGAGAAAAGGATATTTAAGAAGCCAGGACCCCTCCAGTACATCAAACACAATAATACATACCAATAGATGCCACAAAATTCTCTTCCTTTAAACTTTTGGTGTCCAGCTCCTTAGGAACCTTTCCTGTAGCACTTGGTGCCCGAGGACCCAGCTGGGGGACTCTCAGCTGTGCCATAGCCTTTGGGTCCCCCTGCCCAGCTAGACCAGGATCCTTGCCAACAGGAGTATTTACACTCTCTGTTGGACTTCTCTTCCGTTTGTCTGGTTCTGAGGAAAAGATCAAATACAGAAGAGGTCAGAAGAGGTAATATACAGGAATCAAGGTAGGGAAAAGATACAGGAGAATATAGATAGAACAGAATTAATGTAAAGAAAGGCTCAAGCCTGATTTTTCATGAATAAAAAAAAAATATCCGCTACTGCTGGACCCTGGTGACTCATACCTGTAATTCTAGCTATCCAGGGAACTGAGGATCTCAGAAAGGCTAGGGAAGAAAGTCTGTGAGACTCTTATCACTAATTAAGTACCAAATAGTTGGAAGTGGAGCTATGGCTCAAGTGGTAGAGTGTTAGCCTTAAGTGAAAAAGCTCAGGGACAATACTAGACCTTGGGTTCAAGCCCTAGGATCAGCACCAAAACAAACAAAAAATCCACCACATATAATATAATCAGAAAACTTGCCATGGGGATAAGTATTTTTTTTTTTAGCTAAGTGGGAGAGCTATGGATGGCATGTGGCCTAGCAGGTATGATTCCTACCTTTACTATAGTAGTGGGTCTGAGCAATCTCCAGAAGCCCGAAAATACTGGCCATGCCGCCCAAACCTGCATGGGCATAGGACTGTTCCAGGCTGAGGATTGTGCACTTGAGGAGGTCTAACATTCCCTTATACACCTTTCGGCTGATCTCCTGCAACAAGAACCAAGTACTAGAATTGGTACACTTCCTTCAGCATCCATATACCTTTACCCAATTGATTTTTGATGCCCCAGCATAAACACTGACCACATCTGGGATGACATCCTGCCGAGCATCATCCTCTGACTGCACCGTGCGGTTCAGCTTGCTCAGGACAAAGACTCGAAGCTGCTCACTTTCCAGCAGCCGGCGCACCTTTTTCATGTTGAGCCAGCCCACTCCCTGGCCGTCCAGCACGCTGTGTACTACCTCCTTCAGGAACTGCTGGTTCTCACTATGGGATCCACATACCATTTCTGCGGTCATCTGCTCCTTGGTGGAGCATCCTCCCTTTCCCCATTTTGCCTCCGGGTGCAAAATGCAAAGCCTAGCCTTCAAATATTTACAGCTACTGGGTCCCCCATCTCTCCAGATAGTTTATCAAGCCCCCACCACTGTAGTTTCATCCTTTACACACTACTGTTACGTTGACGTTGAGTCCACAGGGCTGGGAATGTGGCTTAGTGGTAGAATGCTTGCCTAGCATGCAGGAAGCCTTGGGTTCGATTCCTCTGTACCACATAAAAGAAAAAGCCAGAAATGGTGCTGTGGCTCAAGTTGTACAGTGCTTGCCTTAAGCAAAAGCAGCTCAGGGACAGAGCCCAGGCCCTGAGTTCAAGCCCCAGGACTGGCAGGAAAAAAAAAAAAAAAAACTGATTCTGCATGGGAAGCCCTGGAGCCAGACGCGATGGCTCACACCTGTAATCCCAGCTACTTTAGAGGCAGGAAAAGGAGGTCACAGCTTCAGATCAGCCTGGACAAAAAAGCTAGAGAGACCCTCTCTCAAAGAACAAGCCAAAGTTAATGGCACACCATGGGACATAAGTTAGGAGGATTGCAGTTGAGGTCAGAACAAGAGAAAAGTATAAGATTCTATCTGAAAAAATAAGCAAAGAAAAAGGTCTAAGGGGCTCAAAAGGGTGGCTCAAGTTGTAGAATACTTGCCTACCAAGCACAAGATCCTGAGTTCAAACCCCAGAACTGCCAAGGAAAATAAATAAATACAGCAAAGTGCTGGCCGGATACTGATCATTGATCTCATCCATCCTGTTGAGAGATCTTCTCTCCCAATCTTCAGCCTCCCTCAAGTTTTGTGCAGAAATTTCACCTGAGACCCTCTAAAATGGTTTTGCTATTTATTACCTAGAATTGCTGGATCGGCCCTGGGGTGATGGAGGTTCTCTTTTCACAGTTGGACTATGTTTAATGACAGATGACTTCTGGTCCACCAAGGCCCTCCGATTTCCTAAAGCAGGGAAGGTAGGAATGAGAGACATCACTGTCATAGTCCAGAAACTCACGTTAGCAAAGTTCTGCGTCGTCATGTTCCGTGTCCATTCCCCAGCAAGGCTGGGTGTGAGTGGCACCAGGGCATTGCACACAGGTAGAAAGCAGCCATGGCAATGTGGAGGAGGTGGGGAATGGAGACTCGGGCTACTCCACATGCAATGGAAGCACATGCCATGGACAGCATGGGCGTCACGGGGGATGGGCAAGGCAGGTCACTCATGTGACAGCTGCTTGCTCCAGGAGGAGGATGGCCCTCAGGCAGGCACAGAAGATGCTAGGGGGGAAAAAAAAAAGATCATGCACAGCTCACGGGCAAAACCCACCTTCACCACTCCCGGGGCCGGCTTCAGTAACAATCTCCATTAGAGTATTTAGCCCAAATACTGGGACACAAAATACACAATTAGTAAGTGCACCATAATTCTGGAACCCCTATACCCATTGATGGAGCAGTAAGTCAGATCATCTGGGCATTCTCCCAAAGCTCAGATGCACGCAACCTTGACTCTTAGACATATCAGAACTGAAAGCAAAGGGCCAGCAGACAACTGAGGCTCTGAGAAGGACCATCCTTAAGCCTGCAGCCTCTCAAAGCCAGGAACAAGATAAATGACACAGGGAGCCTTCAGGTACTAAACAGGCACATGCATAAAGAGGGAACACTGGTTTTCATGAAACATCTAGCACAGGGGTCCAGAACGCCTGTGGGTATCCACAGGGAAAAGACGTCTTGCAGATGCTGTCATGGGAAGTCGAGTGGGGCTGTGAGGATGGGAGATGGGCAGTAGGGATAAGTGAGCAAATGAGATGAAGCGTCAGCATGCAATGAAACCGTTGTTCTTCCCTTCAAATGTATCAAGTGAAAGCCAGAAACACCAATTCCTTCCCATCTAACCTGCCCAGCCATGTGTGGATTCACAGTAGCCATGCTACTACCACTCTGAAGCCCATTTTTCCATCCTGACCAAAGAACATTCTTTAGACTCCTGACACTTCTAATGACCTGAAGTGACAGGTCAATTAAAAAGATGCATGGAGCTAGCTTAGCATGGTGGTGCACAACTATAATCCCAGCTCTCAGAAGGCTGAGACAGGAGGATCATAATTTTGAGGTCAACCTGGCCTACAAAAGGAAACCTTCTCTCAAAAAACAACAACAACAAAAAGAATACATGGAACTGCTTCTCACTGAACTTTCTACCAAAGTTAAATAGTTCAGCATAATATTCAGAGAAAGTATACAAAAAGCAAGTTAAATTAAGAAAAGCCCTTCAAAGGACAGAGATCACAAGTGAAATTGAAGTTAAGGTCTTAACTGGCCTTGGTAGCCAACAAAAACTTCCTGGTTCACTCACAGGCCCCAACTTGGCATGAAGCCACAATAAAAAGTTAGACTCCAGAAAGCCTGCCAGGCTCCCTACAACCATCCACCTGGTGATTCCAACATCAGTATGCACCTCTGACAAGGTCCCCCCAGAAGTAATCCATGGTTGCCATCATCCTGAGATAAAACGACCTTCTCAAATTTCAAAGATATTTGCCATCTGACAATCATCAAAAGCCTAGGATGTGCAATGAAAGCCATGAGAAGCAATATGATGGGCAACAGCCAGGTCAAACGATTCATGGTACACAAGGCTCCTGACAAGCACCTACAAACTGACATATCTCCCAGAGAAACCTGGTTTGGCAAAAGTAAGGCTGTAGTTACCTTTCAGACTGGGGAATGGTGTGGTCTTCTCTCGGGCACCTTTGGTGGGCAGTGTGAGGTTAGAAAGACTGAAGCTTGTACTGTGGTTTCGATAGAGGCTGCCTATTAAGGTGACAGTGTGAGAACAGCGAGTTAGCGGCACAAAACACTCTATCCAGCAGTAGCACCATCTTTATCTCTCACTTTGCAAGCTGTATCACGATAGATCAGACAATCTCTGCTCTATCTTAGAAAGGGTCAAGTTTAACTTACAGCAAACCAAAGAGCCATTGTCTGGACAGCTCAAAAGCTAGAAACAACTTTCTCTGGCTATCTCTTGTAAGAATATCCAAGCTTTTTACTACTGCTAACAAAGAAGGAAAGCTAGTAGTAATGTGTTATTGGTCCCAAGTGGGTGCTGTCTCTCTCTGGCTTTAGAAATCGTTCTTAGTTACAGTCATCCCCTGTGGTGGCTCTCTCTAGCTCCTAGTTTCTCTCTGTCTTTAAGAGGTACCATTCCTAAAGCCAGAAATAGTCTTTAGGCATAAAAATCAATCTCATAAAAACTTCAAAGAGTGTTCATAAAAGTTCCTTGCCACTAAGAGAACATATCATATATCTAGATCAAATTTGGTCAGACTGTTTCCATAAAGCACATGTTTAAGTGTGTGACTTTTAAAATCTAATACTTAATTTTCAGTTGACCTCTCAGTTATCTTGCTTGAAGTAGACTAAACTGTCAGGTATAACAATAATGATGTATTTAGCTGTCTTTAGTGGCCCCATCTATAAATACTTCATATTCAGTGTCTTCCAAATGACCTGAATTAGTGCTTAGTAATGCCAACGCAGCCCCACATCTCAAGTTCCAAGCAATGCATGCCATCATCATCCCTAGTGCAGAAAAAACAGAAGAGAGGAATGAAAGAGATTAAGGCACTTACTGGCAAAAGACATGATGCCCCCGAAGCCCTCGGTGCTGTTGTTGGAGATGGTGGAGTTAGGAGAGCTTGCTCGGGAGTCGGACTCTGCATCTGAGTCACTTGCCAGCTTCAAGCTGTTGGGCCGCAGCAGCTTCTGAGCCCTTGAATGCACAGTGGCACCTGTGAGGCCCAGGCAGGGGTACCTAATCTTGGGAGTAGGCCTATGCTATACCACAGTTGCTGCTGCCTTCCCAAACTCCTAAGCCCCTGGATCAAAGCACTACCCTGAGGGGATGGCAGGATGGAGAGAGCATTCAGCCTCCTCAGACTTATGATTAACCCTCACCCAGGGTCACAGCAGTGAGGTCCTTCAGTCACCCACCTAGAAGGGATCCCCAGGCTCTCACCGATTGCCATTGACATGTTGGCTGAATCGGGGAGTGTAGCTTTCCCCCTGCTCATCATCATCTTCCTCAGGGGGAAAGCCATACTGGGGCTCGAAGTATGGATTGTCATAGGTTCGCCGGCGCACTGACCCATCTCCAATTTCTGTCTGATGCCTGTCCACACTCGATTTGCCAGTGCTGGGAGGCACAGGAGGGAGAGGCTTGGAGATGCCTACTGCTGCCTTATCATCCATCTCCGTAGAGTCCGCAGGTTCCTAAGGGCCACATTGAATTAAAAAGTAGTCACCTGGTGTTCAATCTCACTTTGGCCAGGCCAGACCAGGCTTGTCAGATCCCTAGCCTGAAGAAAGTGTGAGAAAATATCTCTGTGGAACCCCTGGTCCCCGTCCTCACAAGCTACAAAGATGGATCATGGCTATACCCTAAAGAAAGCCCAATAATCTCCTTCTTGGGTCAAAACTACATTTCAGAGGCTCTAAGCTATAGAGCCTATGGAGAGGAGGATAGAAAAATTGTGAAGAAAGAGGCAAATTAACAGCTAACAGTAATAAGGCCCACATCCCAAACAGTGGCTCTCCCTGATCCTCCCCTCTTAGTGTTCACGTACAGAGCTGGCTCCATGGACAATGGTACTGGGACTGCTGCTGGAGCTGGAGCGCAGTGCAGGGTTTTCCTGAGAGTTTTCACTGTCTGGGCCAGGCTCCTCTGCTTCCTTCTGTGGCTCATCAATCTTCACCTCACTGGCATCCCCCAGCGCTGCATGTGTCAGAGGGTCCACATCTGCCGAAAGCCAGGGGAAACAGATACAGACCACTTGATAATCAAAACTCCAAACCCTGCCCAGTGCTGGCCAGTCTCCCAAGCACACTTACTGGGAGTGTCGCCATTGATGTCACATTTCATCATTTCACTGACAAAGTCACCGAGGGAGGAGTAAGAAGAGCTTGAGTCATCATAATCCATACTATCACTGCCACTGTAGAGTGAAGAACGTTTTTGAATTTTTTGAATTGTTATTATAAAGGTGATGTAAGAGGGGTTGCAGTTATATAAGGCAGGTAAAGAGTACATTTCTTTTTGGACAATGTCACTCCTTCCCTTTTAAAACAAACCAACAAAACTAGAAAGGGGAAGACAAAAGTGTCTGTAATACTGCTTGGGAAAACAAAAAGGGGACCACACTTAATTGAAGGTCAGGGAACAAAATAAAGTAAGAAGTCAAGAAAACCAGTCAACTCTTCCAAGATTGACACCTAACTGCTGTGAGATTTTTTTTCTTTTGTCTCCTATATGGTGAAGAAGGGCTGGTGTGAGGGCCTAGTCACCTGTCATCTGTGGGGTCAGAGTCAGAGTCACGCTCTGGTGGCACACTTAGCGCCTCAGCCAGCTGGGAGTTGCCATCATAGACTCGATAGTGGATGGGCTGCAGCTGGTGAGCGTACCACTTTGGCTTGTCACCAATCAGGGCTGGATCAAACATATCTATGCAAAGAGGAAAAAAGAATAGTTAACAGTAAGGAAAACAAGGTAAGCTACACATAAAAGAAAGATTTTTTTTTAAGTCTAAGCATAACAGGAATATAAGGGACAGGTTAAAGATTAGCAAGAGAACAAGCAAAAGAAAGGACCATTAGGAGGATGAAGGCAGAGGGTGGTGAGAGTGGAAGACAGGTAGACTCACTGTTATGAATTCTCTGAAAGGCATAGTTGGTAGGGTTAAGGATCCACTCTCCAAAGTACTCCACAGCCTGAGTCCTGGCCAGTTTCTCAGCAAAGGGAGTCTGTCGGGGACGTGAAGCTAGAAAGGATCCAGCCTGGAAAGCTACCACAGGCCGAGGGAAGAGTCGCAAGGTACGTGTGTGCATCTGAAAACCCTGTAGCACATTGGCAGAGTTGAAGAATCGTACCATGGCCACTCTGAGAAAGAAGAGGATGGTGAAAAACTCAAAACCCATACACTACGAATAAGGATTCTCACACTCAAAAGTCTTCAGATCACCTCTCAACACCATCATTTAACATGCTTCCAATACTAAGGATATTGTAAAGAATCATCAGTCCTCTGAGTAGAACAGCTGTTTCTTCTTGCATTTGTTAAGGAAAAGCAAGTATGACTAAATATATACATTATTTGGACTTTCCTGCTTATGCTGGCTTTGAACCATGATCCTCAGATCTCAGCCTCCTGAGGAGCTAGGATTACAGGCATGAGCTACCAGTGCCTAGCTACCCAAATATATAAAATTTAAATATAAAGGAAAAAATCTTAGTTCCAAAAAGTAGTCTGTCCTCAAGTCAGGAGTGAAATGAAACCAAGTCAAGAATTCATGATTTGTAGCCGGTGTCAGTGGCTCACACCTGTAATACTAGCTACTCAGGAGGCTGAGATCTGAGGATTGCAGTTCAAAACCAGCCCGGGTAGGAAAGTCCATGAGACTCTTAGCTCCAATAAACCACTCAGAAAACTGGAAGTGGTGCTGTGGCTCAAGTGGTAGAGCACTTGCCTTGAGCTGAAGAGCTGAGGGACGGCACACAGGCCAAAAGTTCAAGCCTCATAACTGACAAAAATAAAATAAGTAAAAATCATGATTTGTACAGTTAGCTGGGTCTCACCTGGTTGCAACATCTACTGAATCCACATCATTGCCATAGATGAGTGGGTTGAATTCAGTGGAAGGCGTAGACTGCAGGTCACTAGAAGGCCTTCCCAAGAGAAGTGGAATCTCCTGGCCCTCGTGAAATTTCTCCAGATTGAGAATGGGCTGAGTGTTGAGGCTCATGCTGGCAAGGGCCTGTGGAACAAGACATTCCTCACATAAGGCAGATCTCTGGCAGCTAGCCAACCTCAGCTCCTAGGAAAGAGCTTTGTTGGTTTTCTACATCACACACACTGCTCAAAAAGTTCTCAACAAAGAATTCTGTTTATCTGCAAATTGTGGCTAACCCATTTCAAAACCTTCATCTTTGAAAAAAAGAATCCAAATACAGCTCAGAAAATATAGTTCAGAAAATAGTTAAAATTACATAGCCCTCCATCTCAAGGCCACCTAGCTAAAGGCAACTGCATCAGATCTAAAGTCTGGCACCCCTATTTTCAACTCAATTTTTTAAACTAAACTATAAAAAACAAGCTGTTCTAAAGGACTTAAGGAACAAAAGCCTCAAGTGCTCAGTACTCTCAACCTAAGCCAGCCCCTAAGAAACTCCCCAGAGCAGTTTGTAAAACACTAGTAGAGACTAGCAGTGTCTTTGAAATATTAGTGAGCACAGAAATCACCCGGGATGTTGTTAGTGCAGCAAATCGGAGATGATTCTGCACTTTTATCAAGCTCTGATGATGCTAATGCAGCTGGTGCAGGGACATTCTTTGAGAAGCAGGGAGGGGTATACAGAAGAGAGCCAAAGATCTTAGCTCCTACAAACATTTAAAATAATAAATCAGCATAATTCCCAAATCAACCTCTCCCTCTCATTAGTCATCAAGACCAAAAACATAGCAAGGACAGCTAGAAAACTTTCTGAACTTGCAATCTTCACCAGACTCTGCAGCAACAAGATATCATATTACATCAGCAGTGATGAAGCAAGCCAGTGAGAAGGATGACACAAAATGACCCAATTCAGTTCAAGTAAGATACCATCTAGAGGGACTACAGAATACTTCAGACAATACAGAGAAAAGGGTTTCTAAAGACGCTCAAATGAGAGTAGGATTCCTAAAAATAAGGACAAGTCTATCTACTGGTGGTCCCATAAAACACATACAGCAGGAAAAGGGAATGGGGCCTTGTCACATTTTTACCTTCAAGTACTGTGTTTGGCATGCAAGAGAAGAAGAAAATCAAAGAGAAATAGATATGAGAGTTTACTCAAAGAAAGGAATTTTGAGGCACTGGGATGAAAGAAGATAACATAAAAGAAGCTAGAGTGACCAAACTACCAATTCCCACCTTACAAGACTGAGAGAGGGGCTGGGAAGGTGGCTCAGTGGTAGAGTGCTTGCCTTGCATGCTCGAGGCCCTGGGTTCAATTCCTCAGCACCACATAAGGAAAAAGCCGGAAGTGGCGCTGTGGCTCAAGTGGTAGAGCGCTAGCCTTGAGCTGAAGAGCTGAGGGACAGCGCCCAGGCCCAGAGTTCAGGCCCCACGACTGGACCCCCCCACAAAAAAAAAATAGACTGAGAGAATGTTCCAAGGCCATAAAGAATGGCAGCCATAACAAGAAATAGAAAGTAAAGGGTTGTTTTATAGAGCATCACAAGCATTATAGGGTGACAGGGCATACAATAAAGTAGAAGAAATCTTTCTCATATTCATCCTGTTGCTCCAAATTAGGATATATTTCTACTTAGTCCATCTAAGGTAAAGAAATCTTATACCCCAGGAAGCCTGAAAAGAAACTGGCTAGAACTGTCTTTCCTCAGCTACCCTATTACATCTCTTACTCCACCTTTTCTCTCATTCATCACCTACCTGCTTTAAGTGTTTTTTCAGCTCTAATGACTCTGGCTCTGGCAGGACAGGTAGCACTTCTGCATTAGTAGGGGCAATCACCTATAACAGAGAAAAGAGTAAAGGTATAACCTTATAATTAAATGTTCACAGGCTTCATTTCCATGTTAAGGAATAAGCATAAGTAGATTTAATATATGTCATATACATATTACACTCTATAACTACACATATAAGATACATATATACATATGATAAACACACATCTGGAAAGAAATGTTTTGTTGAGGATCTCTAGGTAATAGGATTATGGCTCTTTATTTCTTCTTTACATTTATTTTTGCTTCCTGGACTTTAACGATGAACACATATTAGGGCATTCTACTAAAGTTTTTTGGTTTTTTTTTTGGGTCCGGTCGTGGGGCCTGAACTCTGGGCCTGGGCGCTGTCCCTCAGCTCTTCAGTTCAAGGCTAGTGCTCTACCACTTGAGCCACAGCACCACTTCTGGCTTTTTTCTTTTTGCTTATGTGGTGCTGAGGAATCGAACCCAGGGCCTCATGCATGCAAGGCAAGCGCTCTACTACTGAGCCACCTTCCTAGCCCCTGCGTTCTACTAAAGTTTTAAGATACTCACAGTGAAAAATGTTAATGTAATTTTTTAAAGTCTGTACTGGAAAATATTTTGAGGTGCTGGGGCTTGAACTCGGCATGGATGCTGTCCTTGAGCTTTTATGCTCGAGGCTAGTGCTCTGCCACTTTGAGCCACTGGTCCACTTCTGGTTTTCTGGTGGCTAGTTGGAGGTAAGAATCTCACAGCCTTTCCTGCTTCACCTGGCTTTGAACTGTGACCTCAGATCTCAGCCTCCTGAGTAGCTAGGATTACAGGTGGGAGTCACAAGCACCCTGCATGTACTGGAAAAGTTTCTTATTGAAAACCATATTCTACATATAGGAGGCTACCTACACTACATATGGAATGATTCTCTACTATATATATATATAACTGCCCTACTTCTCTTAGAGAATGCAGGAGGAGCTCTTAACACTGGCAAAACTAAATCCTATAATTCTCTGAAGGCTAACCAAGGGCCTATCTGGCCAATAAAAACATTAGAAAAACATTGTTTCAATAAAGCACACAATAGAAATCATTTAGAAAAGGGAGAAATGCAGTCCTGATCTAGAGCACAATCCCATTTTTACTCTGCCAATGTCTCTGCCAAGAACCTTACCCTATTGCTGTCCAGATCCACTAGCCATACGTCATCAGGCATTTTGAAGTCTAGTTTGTAGAGGAAGAAGCTGGCAGGGACCCCAATGATGTATGGAGTTGGAGCCAACAGCAGCTGTAAAGAGGACAAAGAAGATAAGAAACAAAGACAAAACCTATCATGAACATTTATCAAGTTAGCAATTTTCTAGATAGGGAAATGCAGACCTACAATCCATTTAGCAAAACATTTAAGGTTCCGTGTATTTCAAAATCCAGAATTTTTCAGATTTTTAAAAAGGTAGCATAATGCATATTCTGTATCTTATAGAACACCTAAAGACACATAGAAAATAGTCTACAATCATTATCTATCATTAACTGTAATAAATAAAATGAAAGGTCAGGTACTGGTGGCTCACGTCTATAATCCTAGTATTCAGAAGACTAAGATGTAGAGGATCACAGTTCAAAGCCAGCCTAGAAGGAAAAGTCTGTAAGACTCCACCTCCAAAATAACCAGCAAAAAGCAGGACTGGAGGCATGGCTCAAGTGGCAGAGCATCAGACATGCAAGCAAAGGCAAACAAATTCAAGGCCTCAAGTTCAAACACTAGTACTACCAAAAAAACAACAACCAAACCATAAAAAGTATTAAGTGTTGTTACCAGTTCAGTTCAAATCCATCAGATTTTGCAAATGCTAAGGAATTGAGGACCAGTACTGACTTACAGGTTCTCTGGGTATTGGACCCTTCCCTCAAGAAGATGGAGGTGAGAAAATCAGAAGACATCTTGAGACTCACCTGCTCTGCAGATGCCATGCAGGTGGGAAGCAGTGGGATGACAGGAAACATGTACTCCAGGGGATAGATCATTGCCACAAACGCCATCACAGACATGGAAAGTGCATTGTAGTCTCGAGACTGTAGCACCACCTGCGGTAAAGATGAATTAACACAGAACAATAAATATGAGAAAACAGCTTCCAGCACTACAATTTAATTTCTGTCTCACTGTGCTTACGGTTGCAGCTTCATTTCCACAATCACCAATGTTCCATGTTACACCACGCTTGCCACTTCCCAACCCAGCCCCGTAGTAGTTGTCCTTTGATTCACCACCTCTCTAGCTCTTTCACTCCCCATCCCAGGATCATGCATTGAAACAAAACTACTGTTTTGAAGTAGATTAGTATGATTAAGGATATCTGAGTGCAAGCCCTCTGAACACATCCCACACAGTGCCAGTACCTCAATTCAACCCACAACTATCAATATCTGCTGGTCTCATGTTACCTCCTAGAAATGAAAATATGAAAAAGATATAATCCCTTTGACTCAGAGCTCATACTGCACAGCTCTTTTGCTAGAAAGGCCCATAAAACTGACCCTCTCACCTTGTGCTCTAACAGAATACAGGTTAGCACCTGAAGACAAGCATCCACACCCAGAAGTTCCAAAGGAAGGTGAAGTGGAAAATCCACGAGAGTGAATCGAGATGGATCTGGAAGCGCAAAGGTCAGAGCCGGCTGGAGCTCCTGGGGTAGAACCTCAATGTCCACTCGCTTTTGCCCAGACACAGGTACTGGGGAGCGCAGCAATCGATAGATCCAGGCCTCAATCTCTCGAAGGTCATGAAGAAGAGCACTTGACTTTTCTTCCACTAGCAGTGATCCAGTAAAGATTCGCCACATTGTATCTCTGAGGAATAGACATCAAGAACCAAACTCAAGCATCAGGAGCTGATACTTTACTGCCACCCAATATAACCATGGAGGATATAATGATGAAAACCAGAAAAGGATTATCATTGGAAAAACCCACTTGTTCAGCTCAGTTGGGTCCAGAGGGCACACAAAAGAGGAAGAATAAGTATGAAAATGTGTACATGGCCAGGTGCTAGTGGCTCATGCCTATAATTCTAACTATAGAGGAAGCTGAGATCTGTGTATCAGGGTTCAAAGCCAGCCCAGACAGGAAACTCCATGAGACTTTTATCTCCAATTAGCCACCACAAAACCAGAAGTGAAGCTGTTGCCATAAGAGCTCAAGGACAGTGCCTGAGTTCAAGCCCCAGGACCAGCACTCACTCACACACACACACACACACACACACATGTACGTATATGCATACATATATGTGTATATGCATGTATATATATGTGTGTGTGTATATGTGTGTATGTATATGTGTATATATGTGTGTATATGGAAGGACACAATGTTGTTCAAGCCCCAGGACCATCACACATACAAACACACACAAAATGTATATGTGGAAGGACCCAATGTTGTGTCACCAAACAGCAAACTCCTGAACACTACTTCTAAAAAGAAATTGTGGTAGGTGGCCTAATTGCACAGCTGTCTTCTGCTTAGCAGGGCAAAACATCTTTACAGTGGTCTAAAGGACCTCAACCTGAAGAAGCCCAATCATAACTAATCTCTAAATGCTTCCCCTCTCTTCTAAACATGAGTAACAAATCTTACCTTTGTACACCTCTAGGGATGCCCAGCTTCTTCCCCAGTAGCCTTTCACTACAGCAATCTACCAGCCGTTTGAGGGTATAGAGACACTCCCGGAAGGTGGAAAAGAAAGGGTAGTGGCTGAGCACGCACAGGGATGTGAGGGTACTGTTGCGAGAGCGGCTGCTTCCCTTGGCCCGGCGTTTGGCCCGAGGAGACTGGTTCACATCAGGCGTAGAGTCAGCACTAGGAGGCTGCAAGGATGAGCCACTCTCTGAGATCTCAGTACCTACTTCTTCTGGGGCACAGGTAGCCCGCGTGCCTTCCTTTCCACGGGACCCTGTTACCCCGTCCCCCTTTTCCTTAGGCATTCGCTTTTGGAAGGAGCGGTAGAAGTTAACACAGATGCCATAACGTGTGACTCCAGTGTCCTTGTCAGTGAGGGTGAAGACAAAAGAGGTATCATCCCGAAGGCTCATGCGCCGCTGCCGCACACTCAAGCAGCCCTCTGGCTGGCAGAAGAACACTACGTCTGGGGGAAGGGGAAACTCCACATGATCCTCTAGTGGGTATCGCCGCAGCAGTTCAGGAGTCTGGGCTACACTATCGCTGCTTGGGTGCCTAAAGGACATAAAGGCAAACTCAGCAGTCTGACGGGTTAGAACACACTATCAAATTTTAACCACAGTTAAAAATAATAACAAAGCTCAAAATGCTCTCTTGGATAAATTAAGCTAACTGCAGGGCTTTGAAAGTGTGGCTACTCCTTACCATGTTTAGCAGGTAGGCTACAAAAAATCTGCATGGTCATGAAGACATATATTCTGAAAAAAGAGTTTTGATAATAAAATAATCACAACCCTTCTGAAGTATTTTAGCTAATAAATTACCAAAAGATCATCTGGAGATAGAAAAGAAACATGATGTGCCCATATATATATTATATACATGTTATATATATATTAGTATATAATAAATACATAATATATGATACATATGTATAAAACAAGGGG